AATTTATAAACTGATCCGACTAGAAACCCAATTTAGAGTAAAAAGTATGCTTCTATGGTCAATTGATTTCAGGTATCAATTGATTTCAAATGTCTACAGTCGAGGAAAGTAACAATTGATAGGAATTTTATTCGTGTTTAAAAATTGAAATATTTAAATCGGTCAAAAATTAGTGAGTTAGCCAATGAAATAAGGCATTAAATAACCATATAATAACGCTCTATTCTATTGCAGCTAGGTACCGAAGAGATTTTTCATAAAAAAACTGTTGTTTATAATATAAGTTCGGTTTGTAGCTGCGTGACAATGACAAAGAAATTTGCGAAATCTTGTCCACGGGAGAACAGCAAATTATGTTTGCAGCAAGTTCTCGACCGCAAAGAGATCTTGTCCCATTTGCATATGACCCTAGCTTTGAGGTGAATTTAATGACCAAAATTACGCTAAGTAAATTACGTGACAATGCCACTAGCTTAAAATGATTATATCTCCAATATCTAGCTTCGTTAGATAACATTTCAATTCCATTGTTTGCAAAATCTGATATGCGTACGCATTTCCGACTTCGCAGTTTATTTTTATGCGAGTACTTCTTTTCAATATTTACGTGTCAGTATCCTTACATTTGCCCAGTAAGGCAGCCCCATGACCATCGGCGAACCGTCAACCCAGCGCCATTGCCCTTCCACCGCCTCATCTGAACCCCCGATCCAATAGTCGCTGTGTCCTTATCCAGAAAAGAGATACAAAAATATAGAGGAAATTGAATTAAATTTCGAAATATTAATTAGAATAAAACCGCTGCTGTTTTTCTAGCACTCACGATGTAAATGTCACTAAATTGGGAAAGGGGTGTTCTACAGAGTTAACACCTTCTAAAGGCGTTAGGCTGGTGGGGGTAAATAGAAATTAATCATTGTGTGAATTGGCCCCATTTTGATCTTAGATATATGCCGGTCTACATCACTCGCGTATTAAACCTCAACTTTACAGTTCTGGTCTTAGTTATCTTAATTAAATTTTACCGTGCAAGAATCATTAGGGTTTAGAAGGCAGTGGTGATTTTAAAAGATTATATATAACTTTTCAAACGGTTACCTTGTTCAGCGAGGTAGAGGGAAACCTTGTGGTACTGCTCGCAGTCGTCTAAAACAATCAGATCCCCACCGACCAACCCACACCGGGCACGAGCGTCATGCCAGGTGTATGTGGCCGGAATTATGTGAACACATTGAGTGCCAAGCAAAACAAAAGGAGGCACACAGAGACCTGCAGTTGAGTACATAGCCATGATGTTAAATGTGAAATGAATGAATGATATTAGATTATCAAATCTTGGAAGATGGATATTAGCTCCAGGATCTACCGAACTTTGAGAAGTCATTGTATAAGTTTATACCTCTTCTTGGCCTAGGGTCCTGCCGCTCGCGCTTTTAATCTGACTTTACCAAGTTTATTCCAAGACCCTACAACCTGTTTAACTGCAATGCTCATTGTTTCTAATTTTGCGCTTTTATCAGAACTATAGGTAGTCGTATAAGCGTTTTATATATACAAGCAATGTTCATGGAACCCTCTGGTACAAGGTGAGCCGGATGTCAGTAAATATCTATTAATGCAAGCGTCAAGTTCAATATGTTTTATGTCGCAGTAAGATCAGAATGAAATCAAGCATGATAGAATGTTAAAATTTCAGAACTAAATACAGACTGCACAGATATTTCATCATGTGTATTGAACGAAATTTGAAAGCCTAATTGGTTTTATTGAGCTGGATAGCTGTTAGTCTTTTAGCTTTAATTCGGTATGGTTCTTTTCCTCCTTCTTTTCGGATAATCTTGAAGCATATATTGAATTGTTTCACTTAAGTGCGGTAAATTTGTCTAAGATACCAACCTAATACTGAGAGCTACTCCTGAAAATTGAACAGTCAAGTCAAACTTACGTAAAAATTCATGATAATTTGTTGCGTAATTCTGACGTTTGCTTGTAAAACTTCTTCGAGGGGGATTAATTTGGCAGTTGACCGCACAAAATAACCAAAATCTAAGAACAAATTCCTCCATAAAGTGATTTGTCACTCCACTTCTATATTTAGGTTCCCATTCAAGGCCTCAAAACAGAAGAATTACTCACCAGCTACTGAAGGACTTGAACACACTGGATATATAAGGGCTGTACATGCGTTGTCTCGTAATAACCAGTTCGATGAACCACTTATATAAGCACAGTTTTGAGCTGTTCCACCCGAAGGTTCCGTTGCCAGATTGTCTACAGAATTCTGAGAAACATGTCTTACTAGAGGGAGCTGTTAAAAGTTTTTCGATAGAAATTTAAAAGCGAAGAAAACTACAAAAATTCAGCATTTCTCTATTGAAAACGTTTCAGAGACCAGTTCCATCGTCAGTTCGATAAATCTAGAACACAAATACAGTCAGAGAATTAATAAAGTTTGAAGTCATAAGAAAAAAACAAAAACAACAGATGTTATACCTAAATTTACAGGCAAATTGCAGAATAATAAAGAAATACCTAGAAATACCATTGAATTACAGTCTTAATTTCATGAAGATTTAATAGACAAATGTTATTCTCACTCATCTTATATTAGTGTTCGATTCGAAATACCCAAATAAAAATTATTGGCGGAGAATCGATAATTATTGGTAGCTATAGGTGGAAATTAAAGTGGAAGAGCACCGATGGCGCATCGATGGCGTATCCGGCCTACCCTGTCAAAATTTTCGTGCCGATTAAGGTCGTTTTAGAGGAACTATATTCGGCTTAGGGGTGAATCAGGAGCACCCTGTCAAAATTTTCGTGCCGATTAAGGTCGTTTTAGAGGAACTATATTCGGCTTAGGGGTGAATCAGGAGCAAGTCGGCCACGTAGGGTGTTTTGCTTCTATTTACCAGCCTCTTATGGAAGTCAATTGCCCGGTAGGCCAAATCTGCGTAATATGCTTAAAAAGAGCAGCTGGTCAAGCTTCGTCATGATGCCCCTGGTCAAACGCTGATGACGCTATCGCACGATCGGGCTGATCAGATGCTGAACAAGGTAAACGCACGAACAATCGAAGTTCCCGCCATACCCAGTTAAAATTTAGCGCAGGGAATAGAGCAGGCCGTCGCCGCCTCCAGAGCCGACGTAGAGACGCGACAGAGCAGCGATAGAGCAGAAATGTCCGCTTTAGAGACGATATCACCTGGGCAGGCACAGCGCTAATTAGCTTCTGAGCACCTGCCCAGGCGGCTCTGTCCTGCGGCCACGCAGCCCTCACGGAGCACCTCTGGCTCATGCCTGCTATAACCAGCGCAGCACTTGCCCCGAGTTGGCTCTGGCAGTGCACGGGCGTCACTAATTTTCATTTAAAAAAAAGCAGCCCAGGTGCTATATATATAGCTCCTGGCTATATATATAGCTCCTGGCTATATATATAGTTCCTGGCTATATATATAGCTCCTGGTTATATATATAGCTCCTGGCTATATATATAGTTCCTGGCTATATATATAGCTCCTGGTTATATATATATATATAGCTCCTGGCTATATATATATATAACCCCTGTCTATATTTGTAGCTCCTGGCTATATATTTATATACATATACATCCGAACACCTTACATTGTACAAAATCTAGGATAACTAAAAGGCCAGAAAAACATTTTTCTCATCAAAAAGACATTTATTTTTCCAACTTAACATACGTTCATACTGGCTTCAGTCAGAAAATTGCCTTTAGAAATAAGTGCATTGCAATCCAAAGCGCTGTTACAACGGAATATCAAGTTAGGCAGAGCTAAGATTATCAGTGAAAACGAACAGATTGAAAAATCAATTAACCGAAACATCCCTTGTCATAATAAGCTCGAAAGAAATGAGGCTGGGCGACCAAAAGTAATGAGAGAAACAAGGCAAGTCCAGCCTCAGAAAATTTCGACAGAACCAGATCTACGTGCTGTACATGTTCATCAAACGTCTCACTGAAAATAACTATGTCATCGACAAATGAATCTACGAACGGTAAGTCTCCAACCCAGTTAAAATTTAGCGCAGGGAATAGAGCAGGCCGTCGCCGCCTCTAGAGCCGACGTAGAGACGCGACAGAGCAGAAATGTCCGCTTTAGAGACGATATCACCTGGGCAGACACAGCGCTAATTAGCTTCTGAGCACCTGCCCAGGCGGCTCTGTCCTGCGGCCACGCAGCCCTCACTGAGCACCTCCGGCTCATGCCTGCTATAACCAGCGCAGCACTTGCCCCGAGTTGGCTCTGGCAGTGCACGGCCGTCACTAATTTTCATTTAAAAAAAAGCAGCCCAGGTGCTATATATATAGCTCCTGGCTATATATATTTCTCCTGGCTATATATATAGTTCCTGGCTATATATATAGCTCCTGGTTATATATATAGCTCCTGGCTATATATATATATATAACCCCTGTCTATATTTGTAGCTCCTGGCTATATATTTATATACATATACATCCGAACACCTTACATTGTACAAAATCTAGGATAACTAAAAGGCCAGAAAAACATTTTTCTCATCAAAAAGACATTTATTTTTCCAACTTAACATACGTTCATACTGGCTTCAGTCAGAAAATTGCCTGTAGAAATAAGTGCATTGCAATCCAAAGCGCTGTTACAACGGAATATCAATTTAGGCAGAGCTAAGATTATCAGTGAAAACGAACAGATTGAAAAATCAATTAACCGAAACATCCCTTGTCATAATAAGCTCGAAAGAAATGAGGCTGTGCGACAATAAGTAATGAGAGAAACAAGGCATTTCCCCTTAGTAAGTGCAAGCATTCTCATGAATATTTGCAGGTATCAGTTTATGAAATTACTTAGAAAAAAGGTGAAAAAGTAAGATTGATTATATAAAGGTCGCAGAAAATTACAGCAATAAAACCACATGGATTAAACAGACGCATCAAATTAGAGTTACTTATCAAACCAATATATATAGTATACCTACCGGTATATTTCCTTTATTGATTGTATAAAGATTGCCGAAATAACAGCAAGAAAAGCACATGGATTAAACAGTCGCATCAAATTAGAGTTACTTATCAAACTAATAAATATAGTATAGCTGCCTATATTTCCTTTGGCTCATTTAAAGTGAATCTCTTATAAGAATTAGAACGACCGTTCATACATGAGCTTCAAAGTTTTTCGAAAGCTAGTAATTCGTACTGCGCATGAATTACGTTTGAAGCCTCCAAGGAGGCCCGCACTTCTGGAGACACAGGAGTACAGCTCGGCCGAGAAGGCCCCGCTGGCGCTATCATCAATGGATCACATTCTTCCCCAGCGAAAGAACAGCCGTAATCCACTTCCTGCTGCAGTTGCTGAAACGGCTTAGCGGGTCTGCGGCGCTGTCCCCGGTGGTTCTCCCAGTCTCCAACGTTCTTGAGGATTGTCTTGAAAGCCTTATCGATTTCGGGCCTTGGATATCGTCCATAGGCCGTACGATCAATTGCGCCTGAAAACAGATCCAATTAGCATTGAGCAACATCGTAAATATCATTCAAAGATACAGACTTAGCCAAGCAACTCGTTACATGAAACGCATGTCATTGTTCATTCTGCAACGCATGTCACCAATTGAATTTATTTGGATCGGTGCATGGCATTGCCTCAGGTATAATGCTTACCAAACATCAGTCTACGCAGCATCAATAAATAAAGTGTAAGTAATGAGATTCTTTCGCCGAAATCGATGACTTTCAAAAAAATCTATGGACTTCTACAAAATGCTGCTGATTCAAATAAAAACACCTTAGACGTACCTCGAAGAACTTTATATACTGCGTGCTCCTTTAAACAGTTTTTCGTTTTCAACCGCTTTCCGTCCATGCCGGTGAAGCTGAACGTCACCGCGAGTGAACGCGTCATCACGCGCTTCATCGTGGTACGCAAGGTGGCCACGAGCGTTGCGTCATCGCACTTACAGAGAATCTCGTACTGGAATTGAGAGAATGTCATAAAGTGAGTTGAAATTTAAATTGCACTGAAGAGAAAACAAGTGATACATGCTTTCAACGACTCTTGAAAGTACTACCTACAACTGACATATATTTTGGATCTAGAAAAACAAGCTTTTCAGATCAATAATATAATTTTAATTGGAGGTTGAGTAAGAGTTAGATTCTAAATTCTATTGCGATACTTTGTAAAATACCAAAGGGTGACCCGAATAAAACTATGTTTGAAGAAGCACTAACAAGCACTTACAATGAATTCATTGGAGAGAAGAAGGCTCAATTCTTCATCGGTCGAGGCTGGCGCTATTTCTGGCGCTACTGTTGACTGCCATTTCGGCTTCTTCAATTCAAGAAGCTCCAGAAGAAGAATTNGCTGGCGCTACTGTTGACTGCCATTTCGGCTTCTTCAATTCAAGAAGCTCCAGAAGAAGAATTTTATTCTCCTTCCCAAACTCAACTGCCTTCTCAATCTTCTTCTCCATCGCCGTCAGGCGCTTCTCAAGTGCGTCACTCGCCGGTGACTGGCGTTCGCGGCGAGGGGGTTCGGTTTTGGGCTCACTCCTGAAAAACAAGCCAAAACTGCTATTATAAAGTAGAAGAAATTATATTAATTTACGAAAAACATAATGTAATTCAAAATAATTTTGTGCTACTTTTAACGGGTAGAAATAACAACAATATAATCATAGAACTTTGCAAGTATTTCAAAAAGTCAATTCTCTTCTTCCTTGAGCTTCATTGGTTGTGATGAGCCTAGTCTTAAGGTGCTTGGACACGGGGATAGTGCAGACGGCTAGTAAATCTGGCTAGTGTCGGTCGCTTGGTGACTATCCAGCTAGTAAGCCTGTACACACGAGGAGAGTATAAGTTGCCGCTATCTTCTCGTTCGCACCCGCCAGTGAGTCGTTAGAAGCCGTCGAGTGAGGTCTGTGAAGATGGATAGTGTGATCACCTTCAACAACTCGAGTCTGTGCGTCTTTTTTTTACTCCATATTCTAGCCCTTAAAAATACAGCGTCGAGAACAACTAAACCCTGACTAATAAGGTCTTCTTTCCATTTCAAAATACTCATTTCTCTCTTCCTTTTTATTGGAGTAACCATCATGGAAAACATTATACTTTAATTCATATTTTTGGTATATTTAAAAAAATGAGTGAATATCGTCTGGAATCCACTTTGTTGGATTCCTCTTAGAAACATTATCGTTCAAACAAGCCATGATTCACGTGACCCAAGATACTTCACAGGAGCGGCACAGATGCTCTCACCATGGCTGCATCAGCGCTACTAGCCACTTCTCCAGCCAAGATATCAACACATCGTTGTCTCTCTCGGCCGCGCCTCGGGCACTTGCCGGCGCATGCCTCTGAAGCGGCTGAACCCCTATACACGAGGATAGTAGCGTGGACAGTTCAAGCGCCGGATGAACTAGCGGCTAGTACTATCCCTGTGTACAGGCACCTTAAGTCACATAAATTAGCAGAGCTGGGCAGCGCTACTTTGAAATGTAGCGGCCGCTACCGCTACATGCTCTAAATGTAGCGGGCGCTGCCGCTACCGCTACATTGTTCTTAAATGTAGCGCCGCTACCGCTACCTCTGTAGCGTATTAGTATGTAAGAAACGACACCAGGATAAAGCCATGCAACGTGTACATCAGTGTTGATAAATAATAAGCCAAAAATTCTTACAGTAAAGGGTTAAAACTCAGATGTCGCTTGAAGATTGAGTCTGCGCCTGGCTGCTTGCGGTGTTCTCGTGGACGGGCTCGGGGTATTAGTGATAGGCTGCACCTCCAGTGAACCTTGAATAAAAAAAAAAGAAATGAAATTAAGTTACACAATTGTTCTTCCTTGGTGAAACTTCATAATTCGATGATGACCTTTTAAGAAAGCATTTGACATGGGGAAAAATAGGGTGTTAACCTATACGGATCACATACGCTGAATTAATTTTCTAAACATTGCTAAACGTCTCATCCGTCGTAAGATGGTGACCACCTTTAACCACGTCCACACGCGAAGAATTTATTGCTGTAAGAGTAATGTAATCATATGAGGAGCAACAATATAGGGTTGCACTGGTTACCTGCCTGGGTTGCATCTTTAACAGCCATGAATTCAGACCATTCTGAGCATCTAGTCACACCTGTCATAATACAAATCTATAATAGAATCATAATTTTGTCTCAATTATTGCAAATATTTCATAGTAATCTGAATCATAGGAATACATTTTTAACTTTTTAAATAAAACCCGGGTGGCATGTGCAATTAAAAAAACGGGGTTTTTTGCAGCCCTGCAACAATATGGCACAAATAAAAGTAAGATCATTGAACTAACTAAAAATTATAGTTATATGATATACCAAGTTCTTGGAAAGTCTTACCACAATGCTTCAGAAAGCGGGGGCTGCGACGTGGGGTGACACAAGCCCTCTTCCTCTTCCTGGGGCTTGGCGTCTGACTAGAAGAGACTGCAGCTTCAAAATAGCACTCAAATCCACGGAACCTGAACCTTGCATGCCTTTCAGTGCAGAAATCTGCTCACGTGACGCAAGTGTGAGATCGTCAGGCAGTGTACAATCCTGCTGCACGGGCACATCGTGGTTGCTGGGGCTGAACATTTCCGAGTAGATGGTAACGTTCCCGGACAAGCCCCCAAAATATGTAAGCGCGACGGCTATACCTGCCGCTCTTACTTCAGCGCCGACCAGACAAACGAAACTTTATCCATGCAGGGAAGTGAACTTTGGTAGTCTGACGATTTATTGGTAACACAGGCACTGGTAAGAACACAGAATAAACTCGAAATGAACCCAAAAAAGCCACAAAATAAACCCAGCGGATGGCTCGTACACTGAAGCTAACTACCGTGATAACTGAGTTAGGTTCTGTAAACAAAGAATAATAAATTTAAGATGTAGCAATAATAGTTAATCCTAACAAAATTACTATTCATAAATATAAAAACTTGAATTTATATGTAATAATATAACTTCACAAATATCACGCACAAATTTACATGTCACAATAAATAAGGTCACAGAATAAAGGTTCACCAACAGTGAAGTGCAAAGTTCTTCACGACTAATAAAATGAAAGTGACGCGCTTAGGATGATCAGGATGAACAGGCTTTTTCTCTAAATGAAAATGCTAGTAAAGATCGAAATGCAAAAACATTATTGGAAAAATGGATACAAATTTAACAGAACAAATATGAGGAATAACTGTTGAATGATCGCAAAAAAAATTATAAGGAAAATCGCGGTACAAAAATTAAAGACGCATGAGGCGCGGCTACATGGTGACCACCTTTAACCACGTCCACACGCGAAGAATTTATTGCTGTAAGAGTAATGTAATCATATGAGGAGCAACAATATAGGGTTGCACTGGTTACCTGCCTGGGTAGCATCTTTAACAGCCATAAATTCAGACCATTCTGAGCATCTAGTAACACCTGTCATAATACAAATCTATAATAGAATCAAAATTTTGTCTCAATTATTGCAAATATTCCATAGTAATCTTAATCATAGGAATACATTTTCAACTTTTTAAATAAAACCCGGGTGGCAGGTGCAATTAAAAAAAACAGGGTTTTTTGCAGCCCTGCAACAATATGGCACAAATAAAAGTAAGATCATTGAACTAACTAAAAATTATAGTTATATGATATACCAAGTTCTTGGAAAGTCTTACCACAATGCTTCAGAAAGCGGGGGCTGCGACGTGGGGTGACACAAGCCCTCTTTCTCTTCCTGGGGCTTGGCGTCTGACTGTCACTCGAATCATACTGACGAGAACGCCCACCAACACGATTCACTGAAACTGCAAGATAAGGAATCAAAGATATCTAAATTAATAAGATGTAATACTCTATCTCATCTATACTTGATATTTGATTCTGAAAATTTTAGGTGTTAGAAGTGATAGATCCAATACTTATGAACATATTTTGTACTGATAATTACCAATTATGGGATCAAGGTATGCCCAGGGTTGCTCTGGTCAGGGTTGCAAAAAACCCAGGGTTTATATAAACTGCCCAACCCACAAGGATTTTATTAAAAATAGCAGGATATTACTAAAAAAAACAGGGAAAATGGGAAAATTGGTATGTAATTTCTTCAATTATAACATTTATATCTAGCTTAAAATAATGAAATTTATAATCATAACTCCTGCTTTAAAGTTTATTCCTTTGTTTTAGATTACTATCAAATATTTGCAAGCATTGAAAAATTTGTATTCCCACCCTTAGTTAAAAAATAGGTTGGGAATTGAGAGAACAGAAAAACTTGTCATGTGTCACATGTCGTAGAAACGGCAAATAAATTTAAATGGATGTATTGAATCAATTAATCCAATTCTTTGCTGTTATCTTATTTTGCAAACCTTGTAATTAATATGGAATTAATATATATGTACATGTAATTTGAGACTAAATGGATATTCCTTGGTAACTTCTATATAGTATAATTGTGTTGTGTTGTTTAAGACCATAAAATGAATTTGATGGATTAATATAAGGAAGCTTTCTTTGAAACCAACTTATCATTCCCAAGGTTTTAAAAAACCAGAGTTTTTACTGTAAAAAACCAAGCCTGGGCGGGTAGGTGGGCAGCTACCTGGGCAGGTACCCACCCCCACGGTTGCACTGGGTACCAACCCAACCCTGGCAATGGGTACCTGGCTGCCCAGGTACCTGGGTACCCACATAGCCACCTGGGCTAGGATTTTTTGAGTAAAAAACAAGGGTTTTTTCAATAAAACCTGGGTGTGTAAGGCACTTTGAAAAATCTTGGACTTCGCAGTCGCTTAGCCTTGGAAAACTCGCCACCCGCTGCGCCGTGGGCCCCACCATCTCCAAATTTTCGGTGATGTACTCCGGGAAACTGTTAGAAACTATCTTATTTTCCGGAGAGTCATAGAAGTGAAATAACTGGGTAGATAGGTCGGGATAGGATATATTTTGAGCACAAATACTATGTCGGGAAATTCCCCTGTGTAACTCTGTCTGAGCTACATATTTTGGTGTGGGAGTATAGGACTATATCTCGTGTAAATCGTGCTCTGCAAAATCTGTCCGATTGTATTAGACTAGATTCTTCTATAATATAGTAACTATAGAATTTATCTCCATGTGTTGTCATTGCTCCTTTGCTAACTAGTTCGCTGTTCTGACATTGAGAACCGTAAATCAATGCGCCGGTTACCGCCACTCTGGCAAAAAGCAACCTGACCAATTTCTAATTTATATCAGAAGATAGAAAATCGATGAGTTAACTCATAAATTTAGGACGAAAGTGGTATTTCAGATTTAAATTCGCGGCCAAGTAGAAATGATTAAAGGCCTCGAAAAGAGGTATATAATAGTGAGAATTAGGAAGTCTTCGACTTTATAACAAAACTATTCACAAATCAAATTATTCAAGAGAACAGAAAAACTTGTCATGTGTCACATGTCTTAGAAACTGCAAATAAATTGAAATGGATGTATTGAATCAATTAATCCAATTCTTTGCTGTTATCTTATTTTGCAAACCTTATAAATAATATGGAATTAATATATATTTACCTGTAATTTGAGACTCAATGGATATTCCTTGGTAACTTCTATATAGTATAATTGTGTCATGTCGTTTAAGACCATAAAATGAATTTGATGGATTAATATGAGGGAGCTTTCTTTGAAACCATCTTATCATTCCCAAGGTTTTAAAAAACAAGAGTTTTTTACTGTAAAAAACCAAGCCTGGGCGGGTAGGTGGGCAGCTACCTGGGCAGGTACCCACCCCCACGGTTGCACTGGGTACCAACCCAACCCTGGCAATGGATACCTGGGTACCAGGTACCCTGGTACCTGGGTACCCACATAGCCACCTGGGCTAGGATTTTTTGAGTAAAAGACTAGAGTTTTTTTAATAAAACCTGGGTATGTAAGGCACTTTGAAAAATCTTGGGTTTGTCATAACCATGCATATGCTTGCTAGAGTTTATTCTTGCATTGAATAAATGCATTATTCTCATATTGCAAAAATTATTTGTACATGCAGCTACATGGCTTCAAGCTTACTGCTTGCAATGTGTTGTGGCAGCACTTTTCACCATCAGTCAAGTCCAAGATTAAAATAAAAATTATATTAAAAGAAGAGATAAATGAATGGCAAATTACTCACGAAGAGCTTCCATTTTGGCCATAGATTCTTTTTCTGATGCCTCGCTGGCACTTATTTCTCCTTGTAGCATCTTACGTTCAGCTCTGTGGTAATCATCTGGAGAAATAGAGCTTTGTTAAGAAAATAAAGTATATTTGCACAAAACATAAATTAACTGCACTGCCTCATCAAATGTAGCACAGTAATCAAATTTCACCACAATTATATAGAGATTTTGCTGTAAATATATCCTGGAAAGTTGAATTGGAAAATGTTACAGCTTGAAATATAACAATAACTGGGTAATGTCGTTCCATTCAAAAACTAGAATTTTGAAAAATATTTATGCAATATTTTTGAAGAAAGTAATTATTTAACAAATTAAATGAATTGTAATTACCTGATGTTTCTGCTATTTTCTTGACAGCATGAGTAGTCCATGTTGTGAAGTCTTCAAGACCATCCTTTTTTGCATTAGACAAGACTTCTCCTTCACTAGGCCAGTGGCACATAACTCGGCCATTTTTTTTAATAACCAACGTTTCGGCACTACCTGCCATGACTTATCATAAAAATACAAACCTACAAATTTTTTAAGATTTTCAAAATCCATTTTAAATTTAGTTCAGCAACTTCAGGCCTAGAACACTTTTTCTGCACGAAATTAGAATCATTTTTCCATAAATATTTTTAATTGGAACACATTTGGGTTTTTGTAATTTTGAGAGTCTATAGATGCCTACATTGACAGAATCACATGGGTTTAAGAATGCCGAGTCTTTTTGATGGAAAGTTGAAACCAAGATTTCTTCTGACTTAATTCTATTTATGAATCCAATCTCACCATTGCTCAACAATACACCATTGTCTTTCGACATCACTGGATTGCTTTTAAACTGTAAATGGCCTAGCCTTACAGATTTGAATGAACTGTCTTCCAATGCATTGCAGGGTTTGACATAGGGCCTACCAAGTACAACTTCTTTATGGGCCCTTGTTTTTGACAGTTTTGTATTATTAGTTCTCACAATGTTCTTGGTAATCTGTTCAAGCACTCGATTCCTACCTCTAATACAACCTTTGATTTTAGAGCCTAAAAAAGTTTCAAAAGGAAAGCAGGAAATCAAGTCCAATGGTCCAAAGCGTTCATAATCATCAGGTAAGTGGATGAGATTATGGACATTGAATGAAACAAAGCCAAACCCATATACTTGTTTGCTTTCTTCAACAAAATCAGTTAACAATTCTCTTACTGCTGGCATGTTTGCATGCTGATTAGGACTTAATAGTATCCTCATAGCAGTGCAAAATTTCAAGAAGTGGATGTACTGAGCTTCAGGTAGTAAATTTTTTAAAATATAGACTCCTGCATATAATAGAAATAGACGAAATTCAACAGCTTTCCAGTATGACAATGTGTGCATGCCTCCGCTCATTTTCCTAGAAAATTCAGATGGTAGAGTCAATGCAAAGTCATCGATCCTTTGATCAAATAATTCCTTGCTGTTTACACTGAGGTGGCATTTCTTTTCGTTTGTTTTGCTGCTTTTCCATCTATACAACAGCCGCCTCATCACTCCAAGGCAACATCCATGCATGTAGTCAAGAGGAAAATCTCGCACCATGTTTATTTTCAAACCTAAAAGTGGTGAAGGTTCTATAGTAGATTTGTGATGGTTGGGATGTTTTCTGTCTCTGAAACTTGAATCCGTTCTCAATTCAGAAGTGGTGCTGTCAAGTGTAACATGCCCTCCAGAATGGGAATAGATACCTTTCTGAACACAGCGTTCACAAGAGTAATAACTGTTGTGATTAACAGTATTTTTTAAATCAGACCTTGCTGGGGCATCACAAACAACTGCTTTAATCACAACTTTCACAGTATGAGTTAAACAGCACAGGCCTTCAGTTTCAAGTGATTTAAAGTCAGCTTCAAATTTTTTCAGAAATAAATGAGCAGGCGGCATTTTGTTTGACCTTGAATTCTCCGAGACATAAACACCTATGACAAAAATTTTCCCTACTAATTCTTCAAAACGAACCAATATTGGGAATGCATGAAAACGCCTACTGTCATGGAACAACGGTATACCGTCAATGTTAATTATTGCATTAAGAACAGTAATAGGTTTGATTTTTACATTGTCTACATCTGCTATAAGACACTGTTGCCAGGTTTTACAGTGAACATAGCGGCCACAATGCATTAATTCTGTTTCCGTTTCACATGTATTCTCAATTCTCCCCAAGAAAGTTTGAGCTGTTAAAGGCACCCATGGGAAGTACTTGTTGAAAGATTTTAAAAGCCGAGCTACTGAGGCCCCAGAGACTCCAGTATCTGATTCTAGGTAATCTCTGATTGAAGCTTCCACTTTATCATCTGAAGTTAACTTATCAACGTCTCTAACATCCTCCAACTCGCTGTCACACTCGCTGGAACTTTCTTCACCACTTTCTCTACTATTCAACGGTTCAGCGGCTACGGGTTCATCAGAATCATCTGAAATATCTCTTGGTTCACTGTTTTTTGTAGCACTCGAGTGACTCGACTCAGCCGACTGTTCATCGGCAACGGTTTCATTCAAATTCTCCGCCATCGACGAAATATTTGCTGCATCACTCCTATCCGCTATAGCAGATTCACAGATTTTATCTGAATCATGATCACCAATGAAATGAGCCTTCCTTCTTCTCCGCTTTTGTCTATCTGATAGAGACTGGTATGGTCGTTTTCGTTTAGGCCTATCCATTGCACGTTCACTGCGCCACGGCTACACCTTAAACACCGAGAGGAACGACGTTGTGAGGCTATTCCAACGGCCGGGGACCGAGCACTTTACCCGATACCAAGAATTTGTTTTAAACTAATTTTTCGAAGTCTTTTATATTTCGTGACATGGCACTTAATCGGATTGTAAAATTTTCAGAGATGATGTAACGTCGTTTATAGTAAATTATGACTTGATTTGAACCGTTTTTGATAATAATGCTCAGGATTTAGGGGAAAGCGGACACATCTTTATTACCCCAGATCGTGCAAAGTCGTTTCGTTGTCGTGAAGACGAAAACCATGTAATAATCTTAGCTTTGATAGTGCAATTGAGAGATAGTTGGTTAATCATTAATAAATAATAGTACTAAAATTGATATAAAAATAAATTTCTAACACTCCCGTACCAATAATGTGATCTAGAATTCTCAATTGGACACAATAACGCACTAAAAACGACGAGCAAAGGTAGTATCATGCCTGCAGTCCCCTCTTTGCATGCCATGTATCTTTTACGTATAGCATAACTTACAAATTAACATAAAACTGTAATTAAGTAGTCAAGATTTATAATGCTGTCATGTCTCGAAATCACCCTGATAGGTACGGCCTGCATATGCGCTTGGCTACAACTCCCTGCCGGGCGACCTTTCTCGCTGCGCTGCCACAGCGCCGTTGCCCAGCTCTTGAATTTATAATGCTGTCATGTCTCGAAATCACCCTGATAGGTACGGCCTGCATATGCGCTTGGCTACAACTCCCTGCCGGGCGACCTTTCTCGCTGCGCTGCCACAGCGCCGTTGCCCAACTCTTGCCGGGCGGCCGGAATTTATCCTTGTATCAGCCCAGGTGCAGCGCTGCTTTAGAGATAGATGGCCGGTTATTGTTTCACGGCTCCGTTCTGCTAAAGCGCGGCAGGCCCGTCCAAGAACGGCGCCGGTCTCGTCTCAGAATTTTAACTGGGCAGGAGAGACTGCAGCTTCAAAATAGCACTCAAAACCACGGAACTTGAATCTCGCTTACATTCCAGTGCACAAATCTGCTCACGTGATGGAAGTGTGAGATCGTCAGGCTGTGTACAATCCTGCTGCACGGGCATGTCGTGGTTTCTGGCGCTGAACATATCCGAGTAGATAGCAGTAGATTCCCGGACAAGCCCCCAAAATATGTAAGCGCGACGGTGACTTCCGAACGCTCTTACGTCAGCGCCAGCCAGACAAACGAAACTTTATCCATGCAGGGAAGTGAACTTTGGTAGTCTGACGATTTATTGGTAACACAGGCACTGGTAAGAACACAAAATACTCGGAATGAACCCAAAAACCCAGCGGATGGCTCGTATACTGAAGCTAACTACCGTGATAACTGAGTTAGGTTCTGTAAACAAAGAATAATAAATTTAAAATGTAGCAATAATAGTTAATCCTAGTTATTCCTAACAAAATTACTATTCATAAATATAAAAACTTGAATTTATATGTAATAATATAACTTCACAAATATCACGCACAAATTTACATGTCACAATAAATAAGGTCACAGAATAAAGGTTCACCAACAGTGAAGTGCAAAGTTCTTCACGACTAACAAAATGAAAGTGACGCGCTTCGGATAATCAGGATGAACAGGTTTTTCTCTAAATGAAAATGCTAGTAAAACCGAAAGACAAAAACATTAATGGAAAAATGAGTACAAATTTAAGACCAAAAATATAAGAAATAACTGTTTCAATGATCGCCAAAAAAATTATAAGGAAAATCGCGGTACAAAAATTTAGAGACGCATGAGGCGCGGCTACAGTGTCGTGTTGGGTGTGATGGGTGACGTGTTAGTCAGCTAGACGCCGACTAACGCTGATTGTCGCGGGTGAAAGCCATGCGAAGTTCTGACCAAATGAAAACTTTTTTTTCCTTTTTTTGCTTTGGTGGTCACGTTGTGGTTGCCCGCAGGTGGCCATGTTGCTGCAGTCGCAGCAATGCTGACCCATGCTAAGCCTAATGTTGTGGTGGTGGACATGGATGCCGCGGCCCTGAGGGGGGCGCCGTGGAGGGCGCTCGTGGCGGCGGCGAGGGGCGTGGGGGTCAGGCTGGTGCTCCGCCCCCACGACGTCTACGTGCCTCACGACGACCTCCTCCAGCCGCTGCACGGCAGCGGGTAAGAACCTACAGGTGCATGTAAGAACCTGTGGGTGCTGGTGATGCCGTCACGGTTCTTGGGTTCAAACTTACGGGCTTTTGAATGAATAGAGGAGGGGAGGGGGTAGAAGGATTGCTGGTCCATTACAATGGATTGCTGGTCCATTACAACGGATTGCTGGTCCATTACAATGGGTTGCTGGTCATATTCATGCCTCGCCTCATCCTCCTGGGGGACAGGGTGAGGCTGATGAGGTTCGAAGGCTGCGTGGGCCCCGCTGGCGTCCCCAGCCTCGCCTCATGCGTGGCCCGCGGCGCTTGGCTCGACATCCACATGGCGGCGCCCCTGGACCTCAGCGCCCTCGGGGGGACATACAAGGGCTTCTGTGAGTCTTGCCCAGCACGGGGGGCGGCACCCCTGGGCCCGTGGGCGCCGTACAATTTATTGTAATGTTTGGTGATTATTCGCCAGGATAATCACCAAATAAAAAATAAACACACAAAATAAACTATTACATAAATAAACTTTATTTTGTAGTAGTATATATATTATATAGTTTATATATACGATATATAAAATATTTCAACAACATCATATTTGCTATAATGATGTCATCCTAATAATATCATTATAATGATGCTATAATGTTTGTAATTTGTTTATAATATCCTCATCATTTGACCTGCGCAGGGGTGTACACGCGCCCCCTCCCGCCCTCTGGCCCCTCCTCCCCCACGTGGCCGCTGCCCCCATCCCCCCTGCCATCGCTGTACGTGGAGGGGCCGGATGAGGGGTCCTGGGGGGCCGTGGCCCACACCATCACCTCCCTCGCCCCCCATGGCAAGAGGTGCGTAGCCCCCCGTCCCCTGCGGGGAGAAATAGAGTTCCATTTGTTATACATCGTATAGTTATATACACTATAGTATAGTTATATATAGTATAGTTATACATCGTAGTGAAGTTGTTCGTCTGGAGGAATGACACTGCAGTTTGTGTGCCCAGGTTTTTCGTGCTGGCGCTGCGGGGCTCCAGGCTGAGCGCCGCGCAGCTGCCGCCGCTGCTGCGGGCGCTGAGGGGCGAGGGCATCACGACGCTCGACGTGGGCGACACGCACGCCGAGGTTAACAGGTGAGTGGACGGCGTCCACTGAACTGTGGGCCAATATTCCTATATCACTAGATGATATAATGACTATATATAGACTATAGTTATATTATTGAAGTGTTATTGCAATTGATGGCCGCCGCAAATAAAACAAAATGGCGGCCGATGATGATTGACCACCCACTCAGATGGCGGCCAATCATTGGACACACCCAGTCAAACAGGTCTTGATCGATTGATGAAGATTAGGGCGGATCGATGAAGAAATTAATGCAGATTCTTGCTTGATCGACTAGGGCAAAACCCCATTTGAAGTGGGCAACGGAGAGGGCAATGTCGCGGGGTTCAACACCGATTATAGAGGAGCTTTCTAGGCCCATTGAGCGAAGATCGTCGAAGTTTCTGCACCCGATAATTTTTTGAGTCGAATAATCTGCATTGAACTATGTCGAATCTTAAGTAGTTGAAGCCGAATCTGCATTAATCGACGTCGAATCTTCAGTAATCGACGTTACATCTTCATTAATCGATGTCGAATCTACATTAATCGCAGCCAATTCTTCCTTATTCGATGTCAAATCTTCCTTAATCGGTGTTAAATCTACATTAATCGTTGGCAAATCTTCCTTAATCGTTGCCAAATCTTCCTTAATCGATGTCAAATCTTCCTTGATCGATGTAAAATCTTCCTTAATTGATGTAAGATCTACATTAATCTCTGTGGAATCTTCATTAATCGATGTCGAATCTATGGTATTCGATGCTGAATATTAGCAGTTTTCACACCCTACTATATCAAAAATATTGAATTCTACTCCTGTAACTGAACATAATTTTACACGACAGTTCAATGAAAAGCAGACCAATACAATACAATTTACTTTCTTACTCTTGCTTTGCTCTTCTGCTTTGAGGCCTTGGAAGGTCTCTTGAACAAAAAAGTGGAGCGACATTCTTTGTGGAAGAATTCGTTCTTAGATTTGGATTATTTTATGCGGTCAACTGCCAAAATAATCCCCTCGAAAGAATTTTACAAGCAAACCACAAAATTACGCCAAAATTTATCATGAGTTTCTACCTAAGTTCGACTTGACTGTTCAATTTTTAAGAGTTAACTCTCAATATTAGGTTAGTATCTAAGGAAATTTTATTGCACAAAAGTGAAACAATTCAATATATATGTTTGATGGTTATCTAAAAGAAGAAGGAAAAGAAACCATACTGAAGGAGAGCTAGAAAAACTTAGGCATTCAATTAGGCATTGAATTTTCGACGCACTTGCACCCCCATGACCCACTTGCACCCCCATGACTTTCGTTCAATACGCATGATAAAATCTTTGTACGGTCTACGTGTTTATTTCTGAATTTTTATCGTTTTATCTTGATTGATTTCTTTCTGAACTTACTGCGACATGGTACATACTGGACTTGAGGCTTGCATCAATAAATATTTAATGACATCCGGCACACCTTGTACCTCAGGGTTCCATGAACATTGCTTGTTCTACATAATACGCCAACGTTAATAGTTGCATGGCAATATCTATTGTTCTGATATTAGCGTAAAGTTTGAAATCATGAACATTCTAGTTAAACAAGATGTAGGGTCTCGGAATAAACTTGATAAGGTCAGATTGAACGCACGAACGGCAGGACCCTAGGCAAAGCAGAGCTAATCTATGTAATGACTTCTCAAAGTTCGGCAGGTCCTGGAGCTAATATCATGTTCCAGGATTTGATAATCTAATATCTTTCAGGCATTCCATATTTAATATCATGGATATGTATTCCATTACAGGTCTCTGTGTGCATCCTTTTGTTTTGCTTGGCACTCAATGTGTTCACATAATTCTAACCGAACACTACCCCTGGCACGACGCTCGTAGCCAGTGTGGACTGGTCGGTGGGGACCTGATTGTTTTCGACGACTGCGAGCAGTACCACAAGGTTTCCCTTTACCTCGCTGAACAAGGTAACAGTTTAAAAAGTTCAATATAATCTTTCAAAATAAACTCTGCCTACCAAACCCTAATGATGCTTGTACGGTTAAATTTAATTAAAATAACTGATAACGGAGCTGTGAAGTCGAGTTTTAACATGCAAATGATGAAGACCGGCATCTAAGGTCAATATGGAGTCAATTCGTATCATGATTAATTCATATTTACCCCCGGCTGCCTAACGCCTTCAATACGTTGTTAACTCTGGATAATATTTCTTTCTCAATTTATTTACGCTTACATCGTGAGTGCTAAGAATACAGCTGCGGTTTTAATCGTATTAATATTTTGAAACTCAATTTGAAACTTTTCTGAATAAGAATACCAAGACTTTTGGCTCGGGGGCTCAGATGAGGCCGAGGAAGGGCAGTGGCGCTGGGTTGACGGTTCACCGATGGCCATGGGGCTGTCTTACTGGGCTAATGTAAGGATACTGACTAGTAAATATTCAAAAGAAGTACACGAATAAAAAAACTGAAACTCAAAAATGCGTATCCATATCATATTTTGCAAACAATGGAATTTAAATGTTATCTATCCAAGCTAGATGTCGGTGATGTAATCCTTACATTACAGGATAGTGCATGGCTTTGTCACGTAGTTCACATCGTAATTTTAGGCATTCAATTCACCTTTCAGCTAGGTTTATATGGAAATGGAATAAGTTCTTCTTGCGTTTGCGAACTTAATGCAAGCATAACTTGCTGTTTTCACACGGACAAGATTTCGCGAATTTTTTAGCCTGTTCAAGCAGCTGCAAACCTAACTTATTTTAAAAACAACAGTTTGTTTTACGAGAAATCTATTCGGTTCCTAGCTGCAGTATAAAAAAGTTATTATTTGGTTATTTCCTGCATGATTTGATTTGTTTAACTCACTAATATTTGACTGAGACTTCTATTTACATGCAAGCATAAACTTCCAATCAGAAGTTACAGTTCCTCGACTGTAGATATATGAAATAAATTGATATCTGAAATTAATTAACTAAAGAAGCATTCTTTTTACTGTGAATTGGGTCTCCAGTTAGATCAGTTTTGTAAATTAGATCAGTAAGTTATATTGAAATAAAATGTTTTTAGTTAAAATTTCATGCGCAACGCATATAACGGCTGCATCGCAAACTTATGACAAAACAGAATTTTTAAAGAATTAAGTTAGAAATGTATTAAAAAATACGGTATACACGAAAAAATAAAAACCTGGGTTGAAATGGTCATTCTGGTAATACGAATCTTTAAAGATTCCAGGATCATAAAATATCTCTGGAAATACTGTAATTGAAACAATGTATATTTTCATTTCTGCCTGACACCATTGATGCACGAAAAATAATGGAAGATGTTCGCTTTATTTTACACAGGCTGTCACTGGGGAGTCAGAACCCAACAAACCTGGAGTGGAGAACTGCCTGGAGCTGAGCTGCGTGTGGATGTACCGCTTCAGCAACACGCTGTGCAGTAACGTGCGACGGGTGATATGTGAGGCAGACCCCATCTAGAGGAGTGATGTAAAGGCCCCATCTAGAGGAGTGATGTTCTTGCTCCATCTAGAGGAGTGATATATATGCCCCAACTAGAGGAGTGATGTATATGCCCCATCTAGAGGAGTGATGTATATGCCCCAACTAGAGGAGTGATGTATATCATCAGTAGATGCCCCATCTAGAGGAGAGATGTACATACATGCCCCATCTAGAGGAGTGATGTATGTCATCAGTAGAAGCCCCATCGAGAGGATTGACGTATATGCCCCAACTAGAGGAGTGATGTATATCCCCATCTAGAGGAGGAGGAGTACCTAAGTCCCATCTAGGAGGGGTACTGTTCATGGCCCATCTAGAGGAGTGCTGTTCATGTCCCATCTAGAGGGGTGCTGTTCATGTCCCATCTAGGAGGGGTGCTGTTCATGGCCCATCTAGAGGAGTGCTGTTCATGTCCCAGCTAGAGGGGTGCTGTTCATGTCCCATCTAGAGGGGTGTTGTTCATGTCCCATCTAGAGGTGTGCTGTTCATGGCCCAGCTAGAGGGGTGTTGTTCNCGCAACTTACATGGCCGCCTCCAACTATTTATTTAAAAAAAACCTCGGCGGTATATCGCCGAGATTATTGCCTCTGCACTACCATACTGCTGTCTCTTATACACATCTAGATGTGTATAAGAGACAGCTAATGGACGGAACTACTGGACGGAACTACTGGACGGAACTACTGGACGGAACTACTGGACCTAATTACTGGACCTAACTACTGGACGGAACTACAGGATGAAGCTACACGACAGACGCACCGTGAAATTAGTCATTAGCAAATTATACATATTTGATGTAACGCAGTGCATGTGAGATAAAATAGGAATGCAAGCCGATCTCGCTGTTGAATGCTTTGCCGTGAACACAGCAAAATATTATTGGTATTCTATTTCTGGGATTGTGGAATCAGATACAATATTTATGATGACACTTGTTAAAATAGTTACTCCTTATAAATCAATTCCAAGCATTACAAATTATGCCTTGTAGATACACTAGGCTGTTGCTTCTGAATGTTGTGGGGGACCATCCAGGACTGATTATTGCGAAAAATATTAGTAACTGGTGTATATGTGATAGAATGTTTGGTACTAATGTAGTATGTGGGGCATGCACCAATGTTTGTTATCGGCGAACGGGAATTTTTTTCGGTCTTGATGAATTCAAGAGAATGTTTTGCAGATGAATGTCAGGGAATGCTTGGCACTGGTGAATGTGAGAGAATATTTTGCACTGCTGCATTTGGAGAATGCTAGGTACCCGGAATAGGGCAGAATGTTTGGTACAGGGGTGAATGGTGCAGAATGTGCCGTATTAAATAATGCGAGATAATATTGAGCGGTGGTGAATATGAGAGAATGTTGAGTGCTGGCGTATGTTGAGGAATGTTGGATTGGGCACTGTGGTAGAGTGTTGAGTTCTGGTGAATGTTGGAGAATGTTTGATTGTGGGTAATGTGGAAAGTTGTGGTTGAAAGTTGTATTGAATAATATTATTAGAGTTTAAATTCACGTTTTTTCGCTATTTGCTTCATAGTTTTCTCATCTGTTCCCGATAAAAAAGGAATTTACAGAAGCAACGAATGTGATAGAAAGTACCTTCCTGCCTCTACTTGGGGAAAAAAGGGTTAGGCGTTTTTTTATTTTCCCGGTTCGGTTCTTCCCGGCTTCCCAAATAAAAATTTAAGGTGGCGCATCGATGATGATCGGTGGTTACAGGTGGAAATTATAGGTGGAGCACGGATGGCGCATCGATGCGGCATCGATGGCGTGTCCGGCCGTTGTTCCACCTATAACCTGCCTAAGGCCACCCCACACGAAAAACTCTTTCCACCAATAACTGCCTACAGGCATCGGTGGCACATGAGGAAGTAGTAATATTTATTCTCTATTGATCGGTATTAAAGTCATATTTAAATCACCCTCTTTTTGTAGAAATTACCTAGCAAAATACTTTTTCATCACTCCTGAATCGTAGATTTTCCATTTTCATTGGGACCTGGCCCCGAGCATTTAAAAGTGTCGTACGTTGTCGCGACACTTTCCTTAGCGGTCATAAATCAGCTCGCGTGAAGTGGCATTGTCGATCGTCTACCCTCAGTCTACCCTCTTCCTAGGGGGTAGAGCGACAGCCTCCTTACCCCCTTACTCTCCTGGCACGTTGGTGTAAAGGGCTAGCACGTTTAAATTACAGCCTTCCATTGTTAGTTAGTGTGCTAGAACGCTGGCGACAACAGGCGTATCTCTCACAAGCAATCGAATAAATTGTGCCTTCCATCACCACGAATCAATAAAGGTCTTCAGTTGAAAAAAATGGAGGTAAGATTTATTACAGTCGTTACTTATCATGGATATAACAAGATTTGAATCTCCGAAAAAAACTCCGAAGGACCATGCCTGCAGTCTAAATTGGCATGACAGCCCGTCATCAATGGAAGCTGACATCCTAGCGGAAGGATTTTCTACGAGTCTAGAAACACATGACTTGAAGTAGAGTTACTTTGTTGGAGACGGGGATAGTAGCGTGTACCCGAAACTGCTCGAAATCATGCCTTACGCTCCTGAAGAGGTTAAAAAATTGAGTGCCGAAATAACATCTTTAGGAATGCAAGAAACATTTGAGAGAGGATGTCTTCAAAGCTAAAGGAACAGCGAGACTTGGTTCTGTGGAACAAAGGAAACTGGTAGAATTTCGTGCTCAGTGCTTGATAAATGCCATACATGGCGCAATAAGACACCATAAAGAATTGAGTGTTTCAGAAAAGGAAAATATCGAGGGGTTGCAAAAAGACATTTTGAACAGCGCCCGGTATGTCTTTGGTGATCATAAAATGTGCTCAACAACCGGAAATTATTTTTGTAAAAATCAAGATGAACAAAATCACTTGCCAGATCTTGAAAAAACAGGAGTTTTTCAAGCCATAATGAAGATTCTAAACAGAGTGAAGGACCAAGCAGACAGTCTTATTCATGACGTTAGTAGCAACAGAGTAGAAAATGTCTTCAGTCAAGTTGCAAAGATTATGGGAGGAAAAAGAATAAACTTTAGTTTAAAAGACGGCTTCAAAAGCAGATGCAATGGTGCTGTAATAGCACACAACACCGGACGCTTGCATTCATTAATCCACGAAAAACTTCCTCGGAAATTCCCTAACAAGGTGATGATGAAAATTTAAGCTCATTTCGCTCAAAAGAAGGCCAATGCCAGAAGACGACTTTTCAACGGAAGTGCTGTCAAGTTGAAACGGAGGCAAGGTCGAGCTTTCGGATACAAGAGCAACGCTTTCGCTACCGTGTCAGATGAAGCTAAAAGGAACTATTCAAACTTTGTCCCTGGATGAACATCAAATTCAGACCCTTGAGTGTTCAACAATTCAACAAAGTAATTGTACATCATGGCATAATTTTTTTACGTAGAAAAAGATTAACCGCTTCGAATTTCGGGACTGTGTGCAAATTGAGAAAAACAACAAGCAAGCAGTTGGTCGCCCACAGAATAATGAATGGCTTGAGTGACACGATTCATGCCGTTGCGTGGGGGCGGGAGAGGGAAACTTCAGCGTTAGAAGGCTTAAAAAATGGGCATCTCAGTGAAAAGATGCGGTTTTTTCGTAGACAAAGATTTGCCTTATTTAGGCGCATCCCCAGACGGTCTTGTGGATCATGACCACGTTGTTGAAATCAAATGTCCAAGCTCTGCACGTTATTTCAAGACAATAAAAGATGCTGTGATTGCTAAAAAATGCAATCATTTGAAAGTCGTTGACGATCAAATAATACTGAACAGAAGGCATTCCCACTTCTTCCAAGTTCAAGGTCAGATGAAAGTTACCGGACGAAGTGAATGTTATTTCGTGACCTGGATACCAGAAGATATACATATAATTGTATTTAATTTTGAACCGACGTTTTGGCTCAAGCGAATGGAAGTGCAGCTTAAAAATTTTTACTTAAACAACATGTTACCTTGCATTATCAACGATGATGTTGAATATTGAATAGATATTGAATATTCGTTGTACGGGTCATTGTGTATTCAGTCGAGCGAGCCTCGACCATATGAGAAGAAAGAGCCTCACAATATTTTCGCCTCCCCCCCTCCCTACCCTGTAAAAACCCCTACTGCGGTTTCACAGCTTCCCCTTCTGTCTCCATCCCCATGAAGACGGATACTTCGCCATTGCTGTGCAAGTGACAGCCAGTATCACTGTCATTGTGAGTAAAATTTTGGCCTCTGTATAGTCTGAATTACTGTCTCTGTAGTTTGATAGATCTTGATTAACAGTAAAAGTTAAAATTTCGTCGCCTTTCTTTTACCTTCCCTTGACGCGCCTATATCAGAAAAAAAATAATTAATAGTCCAGTGACAATATGTCTTTCGTTCAGAAATTTGTATTCTATGAATTAAATATAATGTTAGTGATTTAGGTATTGAATGTGATGCATTTATATGATGAAGATGAATATATAATATATATGTGTGAAAACAGCCTATTTGGCTTGAAGTCTATGCTCTTATTACAGTGAAAGACATCGGCATTTCTTTGACGAGGTGGCGAGAGTAGGGGTGTCAGACATGAGGGTGTGAAACTCCCACAAATTTCCGCGCACACCTATCCCCTCTAACAACCCTCACTGCGGTGCTACAACCTCCCTTTCTCTCTCTATACCCCTGCTGCAGCACTCCTCCCCACCCAGATCCCCCACACAGATCCCCCACCCAGATCCCACACCCAGACCCTCTTTGTGGGCTGGCTAACAACTTACAAACATCGAGGCACTTCATGCCAGTGTCGCTCTATCGTTACGATCTAACTATTGGTCTGTATTGGTCAATGCACATCCAAGTTGTATTCTATTAATATAATGCGTTCACTATTTATCACAAGTTAAATAAAATATGTTATTCATTTGAAAGAACGAGTAACAAAGCCTAATTTTTTTTGGCATGATGTATTTTTCAATAATCACGCCCTTGCTTGAACCGGAAAAATTAAATAAATAACATGGAAAAAGATTTAAAAAACGGCAAATCATTATATTTTATGTTTATTTTTTTTAAATCGCGCTGTAAATAGCAAAGAATTTGCTGGCAGTAGTTAAAGCTCATTGATGACACCCTCGCTGTTGTGAGGGTGTACGGTGGTCCAGCCGACACGGCCTGCGCTCGCACGCATTCCTATGGCATCGCGTCGGCCAGACGTAAGATAGTCAGCCCTCACGCGTCTCGGCAGCAAACTCGAGCAAACTCGCTGTAGAGTTCGGGCGGCTCTCAATACAAGCCTTAAGAGGGCTGTTCACGGACGCTCCAACTCCAAGCTCGGCACACTGGGCGAACTGAGGGTAAATTTCAGAGGCTGCGGTAAATTTGTCTGGCTGCGTAGTGACGTGGCCGAGGGCGCACGAGAATAGTGAGGTATGAACTGCACTAATAATTGTGCAGGGATTTTTTAGTTGCGTCAAGACATACATTTGTTAACTAATGTGAACTAATTTAT